CTATGTTCTGAAATACCTTTAGTAGTAGTGGTGTTCACTCTTCCCTGAAAGTTGGGTAGAATTCTCCAGTGAAACTGTTAGGGCCAGGGCTTTTTTTTTAAGGGGAATTTTTTAATTACCTCTTCCATCTCTCCTTTTGTTATAGGTTTATTTAGTTTTTCTACCTCAGTTTGTGTTAGTTGAGGTAGGTAGTATGTTTCTAGAAATTTGTCCATTTCCTCTAGGTTTTCAAATTTGTTGGAGTACAATTTATTATAGTACTGTGTTATGATTCTTTTAATTTCAGTTGTGTCTGTTGTGATATCGCTCCTCTCATTTCCTATTCATATTATTTGCTTCCTCTCCTGTTTTTCTTTTGTCAGTTTGGCTAATAGTTTATCGATTTTGTTGATCTTTTTGAAGAACCCGCTTTTGGTCGTCTTAACTGTTTCTATTGTTTTTCCATTTTCTATTTCATTTATTTCTGCTCTAATTTTTATTATTTTCATTTTTCTGGTGCCTGAGGGCTTCTTTTGCTGCCGTCTATTTGTTCAAGTTTTAGGGTTAATGTTTTTATTTTGGCCTTTTCTTCTGTTTGGATGGGTGCGTTAATTGTTATAAATTGACCTCTGAGCACTGCTTTTGCTTTGTCCCAAAGGTTGTGGTAAAATGTGTTTTCATTGTCATTTGATTCTGTGAATTTCTTTATTCTGTCCTTAATCCATTCTATAACCTAGTAGTTTTTGAGCAAGGTGTTGTTCAGTTGCCATATGTTTGATTTTTTTTCTTCCTTGCTTTTTCTGATACTGATTTCTACATTTATGGCGTTTTGGTCAGAAAAGATGCTTTGTAATGAAAATTTCGATGTTTTGGATTTTGTTAAAGCTTTCTTTGTGGCCTAATTGTGATCTATTCTGAAGGATGTTCCATGTGCACTGGTAAAGAAAGTATACTTGGCTGCTGTTGGGTGGAGTGTTCTGTATATGTTTTTGAGATCAAGTTGGTTGACTGTGGCATTTAGATCTTCCATGTCTTTATTGAGCTTCTTTCTGGATGTTTTGTCCTTCACTGAAAGTGGTGTGTTGAAGTCTTCTATTATTATTGTGGAGCTGTCTCTCTTTTCAGTGCTGTTAGAGTTTGTTTTATGTATTTTGGAGCCCTGTCATTGGGTGTGTAAATATTTATTATGGTTATATCCTCCTGGTATATTGACCCTTTAATCATTATATAGTGTCCTTCCTTATCCTTTGGGGTGGATTTTGCTTTAAAGTCTATTTTGTCAGAGATTAATATTGCCACTCCTCTTTTTTGATTGTTGTTTGCCTAATGTATTTTTTTTCCATCCTTTGAGTTTTAGTTTGTGTCTTTGAGTCTAGGGTGTGTCTCTTATAGGCAGCATATACATGGATCGTGTTTTTTTATGCATTCTGCCACTCTCTGTCTCTTTATTGGTGCATTTAGTCCATTTACATTCAGTGTAATTATTGATAGGTGTGAGTTTAGTGCTGTCATTTTGGTGTATTTTGTGTGTGTGTGTTGACACTTTCTTCGTTCCACTTAATTTTCTGCGCTGAGTCATCTTCCTTTATATATTTTGTTTTCATCCTTTTCATTGTTGATTTTGTATTTGCTGGGTCTTTATGTTTTTTATTTTGATGTGTAGGATTGTTAGTTTCCTTTGTGGTTACCTTAAAATTTCTCTGTTTTTCTAAGTTTAAACCAATCTTTTATTTCTTGATACCGCCTTGACTTCCTCTCCATATGAAAATTCTATGACTATATTATTTTGTCCCTCTTTTTTATTTTAATGTTGTCAGCTTTTACATGTTGACATCTCTGTTTCCCTATTTACAGTGTTTTAGCTTTGACTTATTTTTGTGACTTCCCTATCTGGGTTGATATCTGGTTCTGTCCTGTGTTCTAATCTTTGTTGTTATCTGATATTGATTCTTTAACTGAAGGACTCCATTTAGTATTTCTTGTAATTTTGGTTTGGTTTTTACAATTTCCCTGAATTTCTGTTTATCTAGAAATGCCCTAATTTCATCATCGTATTTGAGAGACAGTTTTGCTGGATATATAATTCTTGGCTGGAAATTTTTTTCCTTCAAGGCTTTATATATGTCATCCCATTGTCTTCTTACCTGCATGGTTTCTGCTGAGTAGTCCGAGCTTAGTCTTATTGACTCTCCTTTGTAGATGACTCTTTCTTTATCTCTAGCTGCTCTTAAAATTCTTTTTATCTTTGGTTTTGACAAGGTTGATTATAATATGTCTTGGTGACTTTCTCTTGGGATCTACCTTATATGGGGTTCAATGAGCATTGTGGATACATATCTTCTCATCTTCCATCTATCAGGGAAGTTTTCTGTCAACAAATCTTCAACAATTCTCTATTTTCTGTTATGGTCTTGTACTAGTACTGTAATCACTCGTAGGTTATTCCTCTTGATACAGTCCCACATAATTCCTAGGGTTTCTTCATTTTTTAAAATTCTTTTATCTGGTTTTTCCTCAAATAAGTTGCTGTCAAGTGTTTTATCTTCAATCTCAGTAATTCTGACTTCCATTGTCTTTATTCTGCTCCTATGACTTTCTACTAAGTTGTCTAATTCTGAAGGTTCATTGTTATTTTTTTGGATTTCTATTTGCTGTCTATGGATTCTTGCAGCCTGTTAAATTTGTCATTTTGCTCTTGTATAACCTTTTTAAGTTCCTGTATTGCTTTGTCTGTGTGTTCCTTGGCTTGGTCTGCATTTTGCCTGATGTCCTTCCTGATCTCTTGAAGACTTGTGTATATTAACCTTTTTGAATTCTACCTCCAGTAATTCCAAGAGGTTTTCTTCCTCCGGGAGGTTTCCTCGGTCTTTGTTTTGGTTGCTTGCTGGAGGCATCATGTTTTCCCTCTTTATGTGATTTGATATTGACTGTTGTCTCCGAGCCATCAATAAGTTATATTTATTTTATGTTTGCATGCTGTGTCCTAGCTTCTTGTTTTGTTTTGATATGCCCAAATAGGCTGTTTATTTGAGCTACTTTGATTATTGGCATCTATGAAGTTCTCACGTTCTATCAGCAGGTGGTTAGAGCTGCTGCTAGGTACGTGAGCTCAGGAGTCCATTTACTTTTCTTGTGCAGATTCAGCTCAGCTATCCAGGTCATCGGTTACCATTTGTGGTGCAGATTCACTTACTGTCCTAGATGGGCAGGGTTTTGTAGGGGTGATTGGAGCAGGCACAGGTATCTGGCTGTAGTAGGGAGTTATGTGCTGAGCAAGGTGGGGGGCTGATGGCTGCCCCTGAGTGTGTAGGTGGGAGGTGTGTCCATGTTCCCTAGAGCACGTAGGTGGGTGGGTTTTGCAGCTGGACTCTGGGTACTCAATGCTCTTGGCTGTAAGAACTGGTAGGCACAACTTATTCTTGGACCCCTGTCATGGGTGGCTAGGTGGAGTGGGTGGAGCTATCATTCCTTAGGCCCCTGATGTGGGTAGGTGAGGACCCTGCTTAATGTGCCAGTTGGTGTCTAATGTTGCGAATCTGCCACTCTCCCTTAGCTGTTTCAGTTGAAAATAGGCTTCAAGTATATACCCTGTTGTACTGTGCTAGTGAGGGTCTACACTATTGAAATAGGGTATTTTTTTTTTTAAGCTGGCATCCCAGCACTGGCACACCCACTAGCCATGGTCTTCCTAGGGGCAGCCTCCTGCTTGCCTGTCAGTCTGACTGTTTCCCTCACCCTGTTGCCCTTGCAGCTATTCCAGGTCCTGTTGCCCATTGGTTTCAGGACTCAGGGATATTCAACAGTACTCTCATGCAGCTTTAAGGTCTTCCTTCACCCACCTCTCACTTGTGCAGCCCTCGAACCTCCCGTGGCCAATTTTTGCCCCCTTAAAAAAAATCCGGCTAGAGCTTCCTCAGGTAAGTGCCTGTAAAAACAGCTTGTCTGACCTCCTCCAGTCCCACAGTGGGGAAGGAGAACAAAGGTCAACAGCCCAAGGCTGATTCCTATGAGGTGGAGGTCCATCAAGCCTTCTCTCTTTGCCACCTTTACCAATTCTGACACCAACTGTTCCTCCCACAGCACTCTCTGCTGGATTCGATAATTCATTGCAAAGCAACACAGAACTCGAAAACCATACTCACAATTATGGGGTTTATTAGGGACGTAACAGTTACAATTTAGGCTCAACAATACTCAGGATACAGTTGTTCCATCAGGATAGCTTCTCCCCAGCTGTACTTGGAAGCATGCCTCTCCCTTGCAAGCACGTCTCTAGGTCTCTGCCCAAAGACACTCATCTTTCTCTCTCCATGAGCTGGGAAGCCCATTGTGCCGTCTCCTCCTGCTGGGTCTCTCCTGCTGGGTCTCTCCTGCTGGTCTCTCCTTCCTTGGTGGTGGTGGGCTCCTCTTCCTGCTGTGGAATTGGCTCTCTTTTAAGGCAAAACCGAGCAATCCCCTTAGTAGGCCACAGTTACCCTATCATACAGTCCCCTGGGTAGGAGTTACAAGATCATGGCTAGAAAGGCCACACACAAAAGTAATTAATCGCACTGCAGCTCTGTTTCTGTGTTCCTTGCTTGAGGTGTTACCCAGTCCTGTCCCAAAATGGCTGCAGTGAGCTCGTACTCCCAATGTTAGTGGGTAGGATCTCTGTTTCTGTGCTGACCCCATTCCTCTCTTCTCCCCTGCTCTCGACTCACCCCGATTCTCCAGTTCTTCAGCTGCTGTCTGAAATTTCAAGATCTCAGTCTGTACTTGTTTTCATTCATTTTGCAGTGTGTTAGTTGCTGGAGGAATAGATGGGAGCGTCCATCACTTTGCAGTCTTACTCTGTCCCTCCGGTATTAAACAGTTTTAGATTGCTTTTGTTAAGATACTGTTTTTTGTGTTCAGATGTTCTTTCTTCTTTCATAGCTGGGTGTAAGTGAAATGCACTTTGGTAATTTATGGCATCATGGGGAATTTTAATTTTTCTTTTGTTGATATTATTTCTATAGTCAAATTTTGTGGGTTCTTTTTAGCCTGATTTCCGGATAGCTGCCACAGGAGTTGTCCTTGATCTGGATAAATCCATAAAAATTGTGAAGAAATTAAAGCTAACTGGATTTCCATATAAAATTTTCAAGAATACTTCATTTATTAAGGTTTGTATATCTACATAATCACATATTTATTTAAAGCAAGAATTAAACACTTATAAAATAAAGTCTAATATTTTCAGGTTTGTAAATCTTTTAAAATCTTGATCTTTGGTATTTTTAGTTTATTTGTTTATATTGAGCTCTGTGTTACTTAAATATACTCAGAAATCTTAAGGTGTAGTAAAACAAATTTTAGTGATTGAGACTATAACTTATTACTTCCATATGAGATATCTCAGAGCTAATATTGAAAATACATAATTTTGTTCATGGGACTTTGCTTCCTTTTTGAGTCTTGTTAAGAAAGGGAAATTTCTGAGTTTCTCTAACAGTCTCATAGAAAAATAGACAAAGCAGTTCACAAAAAACTAGTTGGCAAGGGTATAGAGAAATGGACATACTTTTGCAGTATTCTGGGAAGGTAGTTTGAGCAGCATTTATTGAAAATCTCATTAGTGGAGATGTTTCCATTAAAAACACAGTGTTAAGACGATCATAAAATGCTCTTTTAATGTAAGGTAATAACACCACCTGGCATTTATCTAGTTCTTTTTACTCTCTGAGTGCATTCACCTAAGTAAAAAGATTTGAACTGCAGTCCAGCCCTGTGAGATGTCAGCAAAGACTACATAGGCCAGTTTAGTCCAATAAAGATGTCTTCGATCTTTTCTTCTACAAAGATACCATTGACAAGCATACTAATGAGCCGACAGTCATACTTGATTAGTGTTATTTTTGGGAAAAAGTAAAACAGTTGTATCCTTTTTTCCTAGTAATTCCACTATTGGGGAGGGGGGAATTTGAGTTATCACATTTTAACACCCTTCAATGGCTTTTTTTTTTTTTTTTTTAAACTAAGGATGATGTTTTTATGAACTAAGAATTAAAGTATATGATTTTATGTGTATGTGTGTGTGTGTGTGTGTTTTTTTCCCCCGTATTTCTGTAGGGAATGTTTAATTCTGCCTTGGAAGTGGCCAAATTTGAAGGTGCTGTGATTCGAACTGTCAGTGGGATAAGAGGACAGATCAAGAAAGCACTCCGAGCTCCAGAAGGAGCTTTCCGGGCCACCTTTGAGGATAAGTTGTTGATGAGTGGTAAATCTCCTTTGTGGTGTTTTAATGACAGTGTGCTACCATTCATTGATTTCTAGCCAACAGTGATTAGATGAATAGAGTTTAGGTCTTTAGACAATCAGAGTCCTTTCCGACATCCCTCAGTTGAGGAATTTTGGGCAGAGTGCTGGCTCACATCATGTCTGGAGCCCTTTGGTTCACATACAGTAAAAGTTTTGTGATGTACAAGAGTAGTTCACTTATTGAGTCCTTCAAATATTGAGCAACCAGGTAGAGAAGAATAGGGCGCATGTTTTTCTGTTTGGTGAGCTGGATATGAATCTTCTTTTCAAAATGTTAAATTTTCTCTCTTTCCAGATATTGTCTTCATGCGAACTTGGTATCCTGTCTCCATTCCAGCCTTCTATAACCCAGTCACATCTTTGTTGAAACCAGTGGGTGAGAAAGACACCTGGTCAGGAATGAGGACAACAAGTCAACTCAGACTCGCACACAGTATCAGACTAAAGCCAAACAAGGATTCTTTGTATAAGGTACAGGTTATGTATGTATTAGTTATGACGACTGCATGTGCTCGATAGACATTGAGTCATTGTGGTGCTTCATATGTAATTGTAAAAAATGGCATGTTGTTCCTCTAACTTCACAAGAGGGAAGAATCACCATCAACATCAACACAAGGCTGATTCCTATGAGGTGGAGGTCAAACATACCTCCACCTTCAACCTTTTTACCAATTCTAACACCAGCTCTCCCTCCCACAGCACTCTGTACTTCTCTGCTGGGTTCAATAATTCATTGCAATGGCCACACAGAGCTTACAGACTATACTCACAGTTGTGAGGTTTATTAAAGTAGTAACAGGTTACAGTTCAGGATCAGAAACGACTCAGGATACAGTTCTTCAGTCAGGACAGATTCTCGACCATGCCCACAGGCAGTCCTCTCTTGTCCCCTCGGCCTGGCCTCTGCCCTGCTTGGGGAAGTGTTGCAGCTCTTTACCTCCACTGACAAGTGCCTGAAGGCACACCACTCTGCCAGTAGGCCTCAGTCCAAAGGTGCTCACTTCTCTTGCTCTGTGGGTCGGCACGCTCAGGTCTCTTGCTCTGTGGGTCAGCTCAGTGGGCTTGGAATCCCACCATGCCTTCTTGTGCTTGTCTTGTTCTGCTGCCATTTCTCTACCACTCCTTCTCACCATCTCACACTGTCTCCAGTGTTACGGCTTTCTATCTCCTAGGTCTAAGAAATTCTCAGTGCAGTGATCCTGGGTCTAAAAGACTTGCTCTACTCCTGACTCTTCTTTCTTGATGGTAGTGAGGTCCCCTTTTCCTGCCTCTAAGACAGCTCAATTTAAGCCTAGCAGTATGACAAAACTGACCAGTCCCCTCATTAGGGTTCCATATACCTTATTTGCATGGCCCCACTTTCACAAGGGTTCTAAACACCTTATTTGCATTATTAGCAGGCTGTACAATCCCCTTAGTGGGCCAGACACCTTATTTGCATAGTCCCACCCAGTCATTGTGTGGGAGTCACAAAGACTATGGCAAGAAGGGCCATATTAAGTAATTCACTGCAGTAGTGTTTTATATGCTTTGAATTTTAAGTATAAAGTCTTAACATTAAATTTGGTTGAACATATTGTGTATTCATAGAATATTTTGGAAGGAACACAAGAATGTGGTAATAGTAGTTTTCTCTGGATTGGAAAAGAGATTTCAGCTTTTCTGGTATACCCTTTTTGAGCTATTTTCATTTTCACCGTATACATGTATACTTTTTAAAACATTACTGTGTTAATTTTTATTGAAGCAATACAGGTTTTTATTTTTGAAGTGTTAACATACATATGTGCAGGAAAGTACAAAAATCATAATTGTACAACTGGATGAATTTTAACTAACCTAAGTCACCACCACCTGGTACAAGCAATAGAATGCTACCAGCACAACAGAGGCCCCTCTTGTAATCTCTCCCAGTTACCACCCCAACCTCCTCCTCAAAGATAGCTACTATCCCAACTCATTACAAGTAAATTCGTTCTGCCTGTTTTAGAGTTTTATAAAATGTATATTTTTCCTGGTTTCTTTCATTCGGTATTATAAAATTCAACCATATTCCTGTATATAACAGATGTTCATTTTTATTGCCAAACAGAATTCCATTATATGAGTATGTCACAGTTTATTCAATTTAGTCAACAGACATAATTTGCAGTATTTGGCCATTACAAATGCCGACCTGAACACTTGTACATGAGTTGTTTGGTTTGCTTGTCCCCACATTTCTGTTGGATAGATCCCCAAGGGTGGGATTGCAGGTTACAGAGTATGCATGTGTTCAATTTTAGTGTATAATAACCTATAATTTCCTGAAGCCATACCAAGTTAGACTCCCACAGACTACATATCAGAGTGCTAGTTGTTCTACATCCTTGCCAATAGTTGGCCTTGTCAGTCTTTTTTATTTTAGGCTTTCATTGCCTTTCTAGATTCCCATTTTCATTTAGATTTTAGTTTCAGAACTTTCACTATTTTCTTGATAGCTTAACAATGCATTTCGAAAGATTTAGTTTGTTGTTTTAATCCAGGATGTTTGGTCATTTTATAATTAGAGGGTGGTTCAGGGCATCAGTCTGCCAGTTTGTTAGAAACAGAAATCTCCCCTAAACCAAAAACCCATTGTCATTGAGTCAATTCTAAGTCATAGCAACCCTGTAGGACAGAGTAGAACCACCCTGTGGGGTTTCCAAGGAGCAGCTGGTGGATTCAAACTGCCAACCATTTGGTTAGCAGCCGAGCTCTTAACCACTGCACCACCAGGGCTTCAGGTCTCCCCAGGTATTACTTTTTCTATAAAATAGTGAAAAAAATTTTGGAAAAGTTTGGACAATCCACCAAGAAAACGTAATCTTAATAAATACCTATGCAGCCAACAACAGAGCTCCGAAATACGTAAAACAAGCTCTAACAGCACTGAAAAGAGAAATACACAGTTCCCCAATAATAGTAGGAGACTTTAACACACTACTTTCAGTAAAGGACAGAACATCTAGAAAGAAACTCAGCAAAGATACAGAAGATCTGAAGGCTACAGTCAACCAACTCGATCTCACAGACTTACACAGAACACTCCACCCAACAGCAGCAAAGTATACATTCTGTTCCAACGCACATGGAACACACTCCAGAATACACCACATTTTAGGCCACAAAGCAATGCTCAATAAAATTCAAAACACTGAAATAATATAAAGCATTCTCTCTGATCATAATGCCATAAAAGCAGAAATCAATAACTGGAAGAGCAAGGAAGAAAAAGTCAAATACATGGAAACGGAGTGACGCCTTGCTTTAAAACAACTGGGTAATAGAAGAAATCAAAGAGGAAATAAAAAAAAATTTCTAGAATCAAATGAGAATGAAAATACATCATATCAAAACCTTTGAGACACAGCAAAGGTAGTAGTGCTCAGAAGTCAATTTATTGCAATAAACATACACATCAAAAAAGAAAAATGGGCCAAAATCAAACTGTTAGCCCTCCAACTTCAACAAATAGAGAACAACAAAAGGAGCCCACAGGCACCAGAAGAAAGGAAATACTAAATATTAGATCAGAAATAGAGAACAGAAAAATAATAAAATCAAGAAGACCAAAAGTTGGTTCTGTGAAAAAATTAACAAAATCGACAAACCATCAGCCAAACTGACAAAAAGAAAGACAGGAGGGGAACCAAAAACCCAAATAAGAAATGAGATGGACATTACAACAAACCCAAGTGAAATAAAAACAATCATAACAGAATACTATGAAAAACTGTAAGAAATTTGAGAATCTAGAGGAAATGAACAAATTTTTAGAAACATACTACCTACTTAAACTAGCACAGATAAAGAGCTTAACAGACTCATAGCAAGAAGAGATTGAAGAGGTAGTTAAAAAAAACTCCCAACCAAAAAGCTCTGGCCTAGATGGCATCATTGGAAGATTCTACCAAACATTCAAAGAGCTCACACCAGTACTACTCAAACTATTGCAGAGCACAGAAGAGGAAGGAATAATACAAGTTCATTCTATGAAGCCAGCATACCCCAATACCAAAGTCAGGCAAAGACACCACAGAAAAAAGAAAATTAGAAACCAGTATCTCTCATGAATATAGATGCCAAATTCTCAACAAAATTTTAGCCAATAGAATTCAGCATCATATCAAAAAAATAATATACTGCAACCAAGAGGGATTCATTCCAGTTATGCAAGGATGGTCCAACATTAGAAAATCAATGTAATCCACCACATAAATAGAAAAAAAGAGAATCACATGATCATCTCAGTTGACGCAGAAAGTGTATTTGATAAAGTCCAATGCCCATTCCTGATAAAAACTCGCAGTAAAATAGGAATAGAAGGGAAATTCCTCAATATAGTAAAGGGCATCTATACAAAACCAACAGCCAACTTTATTCTCAACAGAGAGGGCTGAAAGCTTTCTCCATGAGAACAGGAACAAGACAAGGATCCCCTTTATCACTAGCCCTATTTAACATTGTGCTGGAAGTCCTAGCTAGAGCAGTAAGGCAATAAAAAGAAAGAAAGGGCATCCAAATTGGAAAGGAAGAGGTAAAACTATCCCTATTCACTGATGATACAATACTACACATAGAGAACCCCAAAGCTTCCACAAGAAGACTCACGGAACCAATAGCAGATTCAGCAGAGTATTAGATCAACATACAAAAATCAGTTGCATTCCTATAAATCAACAAAGAGTACTTCAAAAACAAAGTCAGGGAAACAGTACCATTTATAATAGCCTCTAAAAAGATAAAATACTTAGGAGTAAATGTAACCTGGCACATAAAAGACCTATACAAAGAAAAGTACAAAACATTACTGCAAGAAACCAAAAGAGACCTACATAAATGGAAAAACATACCATTATCATGGATAGGAAGACTTAACATTGTGAACATGTCAAAGCGATCCACAGATATAATTCAATCTTGATCCAAATACCAACAGCATTCTTTAATGAGGTGGAAAAACTAATCACCAACTTTATATGGAAAGGAAAGAGGCCTCGGATAAGCAAAGCATTATTGAAGAAAAAGAGCAAAATAGAAGGCCTCACACTACCTAATCTGAGAAAGTATTATACATCCACAGTAGCGAAAACAGAATGGTACTGGTGCAATGACAGACACATTGACCAAGGGAACAGAATCGAGAACCCAGATGTAAATCCATCCACCTATGGTCACCTGATCATTGACAAAGGACCAAAGTCCAGTAAATGGGGAAAAGACAGTCTTTTTAACAAATAGTGCTGGCAGAACTGGATATCCATCTGCAAAAAACTGAAACAAGACCCATACCTCACATCATGCACAAAAACTAACTCAAAATGGATCAGAGACCTACATGTAAAATCGAAAATGATAAAGATCATGGAAGAAAAAATAGGGACAACACTAGGAGCCCTAATACATGGCACAAAGAGAATACAAACCATAACTAACAATGCACAGACACTAAAAGATAACCTAGATACTTGGGAGCTCCTCAAAATTAAATACTATGCTCATCAGAAGACTTCACCAAAAGAGTATAAAGAGAACCTACAGGCTGGGAAGTAATTTTTAGCTATGACAAATCCAACAAAGGTCTAATCTCTAAAATCTGTAAAATATTTCCAACACCTCAACAAAGACAACAAAAAGACAACACAATTAAAAAATGGGCAAAGGATATGAACAGGCACTTAACCAAAGAAGATATTTCAGCTGCTAACAGACACATTAGGAAATGCTCACAATCATTAGCCATTAGAGAAATGCAAATCAAAACTACAGTGAGATACCATCTAACCCAACTTTACTGGCATTAATCCAAAAAAAAATGTTGGAGAAGTTGTGGTGAGATTGGAACTCTTATGCATTGCTTGTGGGAATGTAAAATGGTATAACCAGTATGGAAAAGGATAATGGCGTCTCCTTAAAAAGCTAGAAATAGAAATACCATATAATCCAGTAATCCCACTCCTAGCAGTGTATCTTAGAGAAATAAGAGCCATCGCATGGATAGACATGCGTACACCCGTGTTCATTGCAGCGTTATTCACAATAGCAAAAAGACTGTGGAAACAACCATAGTGCCCATATTTATGGAAGCCCTAATAATAAACAGATTGGAAAAATATAATCCAACAATGTTAAACAAGTTCAAGAACAAAAGGAAAACGTAGACAAAGTGCTCATGAACAGATTAATGGATAAATTATGGTACATACACACAATGGAATACTATACAACAATAAAGAACAGTGATGAATCTTCAAAACATCTTACAACATAGATGAATCTGGAGGGCATTATGCCAAGTGAAATAAGTCAATAACAAAAGGACAAATAGTGTATGAGACCACTATTATTAAAACCCAAGAAACAGTTTACACACAGAATAAAACAATCTTTGATGGTTATGAGGGAGAGGAGGGAAAATCACTAACTAGATAGTAGACTAGTGTTAACTTTGGTGAAGGGAAAGACAACACATGATATAGGAAAGTCAGCACTACTTGACCAAGGCAAAGTCATAGGAACTTCCTAGATGTACCCAAACGGCTTGAGGAACTGAGTTTTGGGGGCTGAGGACTGGGGACCATAGTCTCAAGGGACATCTAGGTCAGTTGGCATGACATAGTTCATAAAGAAAATGTTCTACATCCTACTTTGGTGAGTAGCATCTAAGTTCTTAAAAGCTTGCCAGTGGCCATCTAAGATACATGTATAGTTCCCATCCTGTCCTGAGCAAAGGCGAATGATCTAAAACCAAAGACACAAGGTAAATACTAATCTGAAGGACTAATGGACCACATGAACCACAACCTCCACCAGCCTGAGCCCAGAAGACCTAGATGGTGCCCAGCTACCGCCACTAACCGCTCTGACAGGGGTCACAATAGACAGTCCCAGAGTGGGAGAAAAATGTAGAACAAAATTCAGATTCACAAAAAAGACCAGACTTACTGGTCTGACAGAGATTGGAGGAACTCCTGAGACTATGGCCACTGGACACCCTGCTAACTCTGAACGGAAGCCATTCCTGAGTCCACCTTTCAGCCAAAGATTAGACAGGCCTATAAAATAATAACATGTGAGGGACGTGCTTCTGAGTTCAATCAAGTGTTTGAGACCAAATTGGGCAACACCTACTCAAAAGCAAAGAGGAGAAGGCAAGAAGGGACAGGAAAACTGGATGAATGGATATGGGGAACCTGGGGTGGAAAGGGGGAGAGTACTGACACATTGCAGGGATTGCAACCAATGTCACAAAACAATTTGTGTATAAATTTTTGAATGAGGAACTATTTTGTGCTGTAAACCTTACCTTAAAGCACAATAAAATTTTTTTGGATTATCTTTAATTTTTATTAAAATTTGCTTCAGGATGTGGTACCTGTTATTTAGCCTGTGATGCTATTTTTTTGAAAAGATAGAGATTTCTCTGATTTCTTTAATTCTAAAGCATAGATTCCTAAACAGTCAATTGAGTACTTTCATGGATGGTGTCTTTAATAATAAATTTAAAGACGTAGCACAAATATTCTCTGTATAGTTGATGTTGACCTTGGTAAAGGCCTAGGGCAAAACTTTCAGTGTATTAGCAGTATTTCTGAAGCAGTTAAGAATTTTGGACTTCTCTTTTAATTTAAGCATTGAATTTAGATTACCTTGAAAATTGGATGTTTTGCCTTCGTCTGTTGTTTAAATCCCAGTTTTCTCAGCTGGCTCTCCATTAGAAACAATAGTTAAATGTCTTACTGAGAATCAGCAATGTGGACACTTTGCTGATTGGAGGAACTATGTCTCTCAAATCCAAAGAGGTTTATAGTCAAGATAAAAAGCTAGATTATTTTTATTAGCTGGAAAAAACCACCTCAGTGTCCAAAAGATAAGATTTGAATTTTCCATTAAAAGAAACTTTGTATCTACTCACCTACTCTGTTAAGATCTCATAGTTCCATACCGTAGAAATTGGCACAGTAGATTTCTTGGAAAAATTGTAAATATCAGACATACATTCCTCTGTTTGCCTATTGTTGTACATGGCCATTGAGATAGCCTATATTTGATGGATGATTGAATCCTCGTTTCTGATGGTCTGCAAACTCTGGTGTTACTGACTTTGTGGAAAAATCATACCATTAAGATTTTATGCGAAAGGTTTTAAATGTACTTAGAGCATAGTTTAAATATGTTACACTCTTTGTTTTATTTTTCTTTTCAGCCCATAGTGAGGCAAAAGAAACATTTTAACTCGCTGCACATTCCAAAAGCCTTGCAGAAGGCCCTGCCGTTTAAGAACAAGCCCAAGACCCAAGCAAAGGCAGGCAAGGTGCCAAAGGACAGGCAGAGACCGGTCGTCATACGGGAACCTCATGAGCGGAAGGTACTATGGATGGATGGCTCATTCATTTACATGTGAAAACGATGCTTTCAGTAGCACATTTAGTATTTCTCCTGCATTGTCGTTTTTCACCAGGAAAGTATAAGGGCCTTTCAAGGCACCAGACCTGAAGTTAGAGGAAAGGCTGTGGTCCTTTCCCTTTATTTGGTTTAGTCATGCTCTTCCTTATCCATTTTAATGAGGGTAATAGGTGCACAGCTGTGAATCACTCTGCTCCCAGTATAACCAAATCTGAGCAGTCCCTTTTGGGATCTGAGACAGAAACCAACAAATCCAACATTTTTGATAAACTTTTATGAGTGTTCACAGTACTGATGTGCTTAGTTATTATTTCTGTTAAGTAAGGGAAATGGATTTATTTAACCATATCCCCGCCTTCTACTTGTTTTCAGTTTTGGGGAAACTTACTGTATCTCTTCACAAGATCAATAAAAAGAGGCAGAAAACTTTTCTTTGTGTTAGTTAATTGCACATAGTAGCCACAGTGATGAACAAAGGTGGTTTTATGGCAAAAGCTATTATGTAAGTATTTTGCTAAGTGAATATGCTCCTGTCTGTTTCTCCATGCAAATTGTGATCTCCCAGTTTGCATAAATTTTCACTAGGTTAATAAATCATTTCTGATCATGGATTAAGTCTAGTTTTGATAAAATCAACTGAGGTGTTTAGGCCCCCTCAAATTTAGATAAGAATTAAAGCATGCCAGAGCTGTAAGCATATTCTAATGCTCACTGGTTTTTCATTATCAGGTCCTTGCACTGCTGGATGCTCTGAGCACAGTGCACAGTCATAAGATGAAGAAGGCCAAGGAGCAACGGCATCTGCAGAATATAGAGCACTTCAAAGTGAAACAAAAGGAAGAGGAAGAAAAACTGACACAGCGGAAGGAGCTCAGGAAGAAGCTCTTCCGAATCCAGGGTCAGAAAGAAAGAAGAAATAATAAGTCCAGTTTGAAGGGGCATCAGGATCAACTGAAGTGAGCCTCCCAGATGGGTAGGATGTCATTTGGATCTGTAGAAATGGATGGTTTTAAATATTATATAGTACTTGTAAATGGGAATTCCAGAACAAGTCAGGGAACTGTAGCACAAGAGAGACTGTGCCTTTGCAATGGGAAATTGAGAAGACTGCTGACGTGACACATACACATGCTCAGCATCTAAGTTGGATGGATATAGAATGATACCATTTATGGTTTCGCTCTAGCCTCAATCTCTTTTTTGGTATATGCTACAAAAATCCATTAAAATATTTTCTTGTAAATTTTGACTTAGTGTTTTTCATTAGGGATGAATCCACAAATCGATTGTAGATAATTGCTTTCTCTACCACCTTCCTTATGAGCTTTCCAGAAGACAGAAAAATATTAAATCCTCAGTTTCAATGTGAAATTATAGAGGATAGGGAAGGATGTATGGTTGTTTTTTTTTTTTTTTTTTTTTTTTTTGCCCCACCGTATATTCTTTGGTCACTGACCTTAATGGACATTTTATCTTATTTCATATGATTTGCATGCTAGTTTAAGAGCTTTTGTTGTTGTTAGGTGCTGTTGAGTCAGTTCCAACTCAGTGACACTGTGTACTGACCGGTCCTGCACCATCCTCACAATCGTTGCTGTGTTTGAGCCCGTTGCTGCAGCCACTGTGTCAGTCCATCTCGTTGACGGTCTTCCTCTTTTTGGCTCACCCTCCTCGTTACCGAGCATGATGTCCTTCTCCAGAGACTGATCCCTCCTGATAACATGTCCAAAGTACGTGAGACTAAGTCTCACCATCCTCTCTTCTGTACAGCATTCTGACTCTACTTCTTCCAAGATAGAGTTGTTCGTTATTTTGGCTGTCCATGTGATATTCAACATCCTTTGCCCACATGATAATTCAAAGGCATCAATTCTTCATTCTTCCTTATTCACATGCATATGAAACAAAGATACCATGGCTTCAGTCAGGCACACCTTAGTCCTCAAAGTGACATCTTTGCTTTTTAACACTTTAAAGAGGTCTTTTGCAGCAGATTTTCCCAATTCAATATGTTGTTTGATTTCTTGATTGCTGCTTCCATGGGTGTTGATTGTGGATCCAAGTAAAATGAAATCCTTGACAACTTCAATCTTTTCTCCATTTATCATGATGTTGCTTATTTATTGGTCCAGCTTTGAGGATTTTTGTTTTCTTTATGTTAAGGTGGAATCCATACGGAAGGCTGTAGTCTTTGATCTTCATCAGTAAGTGCTTCAGGTCCTCTTCATTTTCAGCAAGTGTCTTAGGCTGGGTTCTCCAGAGAAGAAAAACCAGTAAAGCGCATAAATATAGAGAGAGATTTATATCAAACAGCTCACAGTTGTAGAGGCTGGAATGTCCCAAGTCCGTGGATTAGGATAGAGGCTTCTCCCATTTCATGTAGCCACAGGGGCTGGAGAACCCAAGATGGGTAGGTTGGAAAGCAGGACTCCACTCACAGGCTGTGAAGATCGACAGATCCCAGGATCAGCAGATAAGCTGATAGCCCAAGTCCCAAGAAACCGGAGGTCAAATGAACAGGAGGTAGCTGCAGAATCCAGAGTGTGCAAAAAGCTAGAATGTCTGCTTATATTCAGATGAGGGCCACACTCCCAAGGAGACTCCCTTTCCACTGATTGGCTACTCATAGCATATTCAGTCATGGGAGTGATCACATATAAACACTGAGACTCATGGCCCAGCCAAGTTGACACACAATCTTAACCATTACCATCCACCCCTTGTCGACTTGGCCATGTACACATCTCCTTAAACCATACATAACCGCTGAATAAAGACAATTAGAAAGTCATACTTGAGCCTAACATGATACAACTAACATGCGTACAGTCGAAAACACACTAGCCCCGTTTACATCTTAGATTTTGTAAGTGAAGGAAACAAAAATATTTGATGCACACATACAAAGCAGAAATAACAATTACAGTCCCCATTCCTGCAACCATTCATGTGGCCATAACTGGTATTTAGAACTACCTTCTTTCACCACCCATTCCGTATTACCTTTGCCATCAGCAAGCACCTCGGCTGGTCGTGGTTCTTTGCCTGGTAGGGTAACCCAAACCTTCTTTCCTGAAGGGTCTGGGTCATTAGTAGTCATGTCAGAATTAAGTTGCTGTAGTTTTCCATTGACTTTAATCACAGGGCATAGTAGTACTAAGAGATGCCCTAAAGAATCTGTGCATTCCAGACATACTCTACCTCCATTATGTAATGTCAATCCGATTTCCTCTTGGTAATCAGAATCAATCACACCAGCCAGTATGGTAATTCCCTTCTTTGCCTGTTGATCCAGAGGCGTAAGGAGCCCAAAGTGGCCAGGTGGCATTCTTAGCTTCTAGTTCAGTGGAATCAGTGATGTGTCTCCAGGTGGGAGCATTTCCTCCCTTTGGAACTAAGACCTCTAGGCCTACAAAGTATAAGGTCACGGGGACAGAAAACAAAAATTTTGCAAGTGGGTCACTAGGGTAATAGTGAGCGGTGCCACTCCCATTTCCACCCCTTGATTCCTGGACCCATGAATCCTGGTTATGGGAGAAACAGCACCATATATTGGACGCTGGTTTAGAGCATATACAGCCTCCTGGAGAACATTGCCCGTCTCCGCAAGGTATTACCACCCAGCTGGTGCCATAATTGCGTCTTTAGAAGGCCATTTCATTGTTCTATCAAGCCAGCTGCTTCAGGATGATGGAGAACATGGTAAGACCAGTTGAATTTCATGAGCACGGGCCCACTGCCACACTTCATTTACTATGAAGTGAGTCTCGATCCGAGGCAGTGCTGTGTCAGATACCATGACAGTGGATAAGGCATTCTGTAAGTCCACGGATGGAAGTTTTGGCAGAAGCATTGTGTGCAGGGAAGGCAAATCCATATCCAGAGTGTCTATTCCAGTGAGGACAGAACGCTGCCCTTTCTATGATGGAAGTGGTCCATTGTAATCAACTTGCCACCAGGTTGCTGGCTGATCACCTTGACGGGTTGTGCCATATCGGGGACTCAGTGTTGGTCTCTGCTGCTGGCAGATTGGGCACTCAGCAGTGGCTATAGCCAAGTCAGCGTTGGTGAGTGGAAGTCCATGCTGCTCGGCCCATGGCCACTTTGTTCATGAGCCCATTGAACAAAGACAGTAGTAGCTGGGGAAAGAGGATGACTAGTTTCCACAGAACACATCATCCTATCTGCTTGTTAAAATCATCCTCTGCTGAGGTCACCCTTTGGTGAGCATTCAAATGAGACACAAATACCTTCACTTCTTTGGCCCATTGAGAGAGGTCTATCCACATACCTCTTTCCCATAAATTCTTGTCTCCAATTTTCCAATCATGTTCCTTCCAAGTCCCTGACTATCCAGCCAAAGCATTGGCCACAGCCCATGAATCAGTATATAATCGCACATCTGGCCATTTCTCCTTCCAAGCAAAGTGAACAACCGGGTGTACTGCTTGAAGTTCTGCCCATTGAGAGGATTTCCTTTCACCACTGTCCTTCAGGGAGGTCCCAGAAAGGGGCTGTAGTGCTGCTGCTGTCCACTTTCAGGTGGGGCCTGCATATCACGCAGAACCATCTGTAAACCAGACAAGAGTTTTCTTTTCAGTCAGCTGATCCTAAGGAACTCCCCATGAGGCCATAGGGAAGGAATTGTGACAAGAGTAGAGACCATGAGCATTTGGGCCACTTCCTCATGCAACTTGTGCCTTCAGTTTCCGCTCGGGCCTGGTTTTGTATATACCACTTCCATTTAATGATGGAGTGTTGCTGTGCACGTCCATCCTTATGACTCTGTGAGTCAGACAGCACCCAGTTCATGAGCAGTTCAGGCCTCATGGTGACTTGGTGTCCCATAGTTAAACATTCAGTCTCTACTAAGGCCCAGTAACAAGCCAAAACTTGTTTCTCAAAAGGAGAGTGGTTACCTGCAGAGGATGGTAGAGCTTTGCTCCAAAATCCTAAGGGTCTGTGCTGTCATTTACCAATAGGGGTCTGCCAAAGACTCCAAACAGCATCTCTTATCTGCCACTGACACTTCAAGCACCATTGGATCAGCCAGATCATACGGCCCAAGTGGCAGAACAGCTTGCACAGCAGCCTGAACCTATTGCAGAGCCTTCTGTTATTCTGGGCCCCACTCAAAACTAGCAGCTTTTTGAGTCGCTTGATAAATAGGCCGGAGTAGCATACCCAAATGAGGAATATGTTGCCGCCAAAATCCAGAGGCCCACTAGGCATTGTGCCCCCTTTTTAGTTGTGGGAGCAGCCAGATGCAATAACTTATCCTGCATTTTAAAAGGAGTATCTCGACATGCCCCACACCACTGGACTCCTAGAAATTTCACTGAGGTGGAGGTGCCTGAATTTTTGTGGGATTAATTTCCCACCCTCTAACATTCAAATGTTTAGCCAATAAATCGAGTCATTGACACTTCTTGCTTACTAGGTCCAATCAGCATAATGTCATCAATGTAATGGGCCAGTGTGACATCTTGTGGAAGGGAAAGTTGATCAAGGTCCCTGTGGCTGGAGAGTTGATGTAGGCCTGAGGTAGTCAAGTGAAGGTATACTGGTAGCCTTGCCAGCTGAAGGCAAACTTCTAGTGGTCCTTTGAAACGGGTATGGAGAAAAAGGCATTAGCCAGATCAATAGCTGCATACCAGGTACCAGGAGATGTATTGATTTGCTCAAGCAGTGAAACTACATCTGGAACAGCAGCTGCAATTGGAGTCACCACCTCGTTAAGTTTTCGATAATCTACTGTCATTCTCCAAGATCCATCTGTTTTTTGTACAGGCCAAGTACGTGAGTTGAATGGATGAGGATGTGGTGGGAATCACCACCCCTGCAACCTTCAAGTCCTTGATGGTGTCAGTAAATCTCTGCAATCCCTCCAGGCATGCGGTATTGCTTTTGGTTTACTATTTTCCTAGGTAGGGGCAGTTCTAATGGCTTCCACTTGGCTTTTCCTACCATAATAACCCTTACTCTATTTGTCAGGGATCCAATGTGGGGGTTCTGCCAGTTGCTGAGTATATCTATTCCAATTATGCATTCTGGAACTGGAAAAATCACTACAGGATGGGTTGGGGGACCCACTGGACCTACTGTGAGATTGATATGAGCCAAGATTCCAATTAATAACCTTACCTCCAT